CTGGCGCACCCACCAGGAACGCGACCAGCGTCTGCGGGTCCTCCCAGGCCGGCGCGACGACGATGCCGACGACGAGGCTGACGCCGACGGCCATGTATCCGAAGACGGTCTCATGGAAGCCTCCATGGAGGCCTCCGATGGCCCCCGCAGGCCGAACTACTGCACAACCACTTCCACCAACTCTGACCCTCGACGCGCAAGCCTCGTCCGACATCGATTTCCGAAGACGGGCAACGACGGACGACGACAACGACGGCTGCGGCGGCGCTGGCGACGACGACCACTGGCCAATTAGCGGACTGTCTTCGCTGCGCGGGGAAATCCTGCAGTCTGGGCCTCCCTTTTGGGGTCCGAGTAGATGGGGTCAGAGGATCGCGCCTTATCGACGATGGATGCATCGTCGACGCCAGCGATGCATCGGCGCCTTCGACGAGACGAGAATCGGGACCCACATCGGGCCGCATCACCGATGCATCGGCGATGCGGCGCGATCCTCCGACCCCCCATCTAACTCCGACCCCATCAAGGAGGCCTAGACATGGGAGGGGGGGGAACATCGACCTGTAATCGGCGATTCGTCGCCGAAGTATCGGCGATAGGCCCCCAACAGCAAATCCAAAGGTTCCCGGGCAGACTGGGGCTCTCGGGCCCCTGTCGGCGATGAATGTGCGATTGGGGGTCGATGCATCTCGGGGGCGGCCAAGAGGAGGGGGGGGGTCAAGGAAGGGGGGGCAAATCATGCCAGGCGGCACATGCGCAGCCCAAGGGGGGGACGGGGACGTGTTGGAACAAGAAGAGGCGCCAAGAGACCTGGGGAGATATCGTGGCCCCCGCTATGATACCCCCCCCGTCATCACTCCCCTCGTGGCAGCCCCCGAGCATCCCCGCTGAGCCGACAGTCGAAACGCTGTCATAAATTACCCCAAATAAAAAAACGAGGCCCCTTTGGTTCCGGGGAAGTTAACCTTCGATTGCCCATAGAAAACCTAAGGAACACCAAAGACTCAAAGACAAACTGAGCCCCTCCCCAACGAAAAGGGTTCCTTCTTCAGCGGCCCGGCTGCAGCGTTGCCCCCGGCATCTGTGGGATGTCCGGGGAAGTCCCGGGGGGGGGGGGCGGGGGCCGCCCCAGGGACGTGCGGCGCGGTGCGGCACTGCCCGCCGCCGGCTCCCCAGGGGGGGGGGGGGGGCGGCCCATCGAGGGGGCAGGCTTGCGACACAGGACAGCTCGGGTCCTGCTAGAAGTCGGCGGCGAGCCAGGGGGGGGAGGGAGGAAAAGAAGGCCTCCGCAGACGGCGGCAGGACTTCTCAGACGCCCTCGCGCCTTCTGAGAAGTTCACTGTGTCTTCGGGGACATCTTGGAAAACCTCTCAGGAGGCCGGGGAACTTCCGAGCCTTCTGAGAAGGCCCGCCCCTTCTCACTCCCCCCCCCTCTCTCACCGCCACAAAAGTGCCCCTGGCCCAAGGTGTCCCCAGGATTTCCACGGCCTCCAGAGCACCCCTCACGAGGCCCACGTGGCCCGAAGGGCTCCAAGAATGGAGCGGAAAGCTGGGGGCAACTTGGGCCAGGGACACCCTTAGCAACCCCCTGAACAGTGCAACGTGCTCAGGTGAAGGCTTCAGCGCCAGACGCTCACATCTGGCAGAGGACGACGAATACGGTCAAAACCCATGGCAAGGACGCAGGCAGGGTAAGGATGCAAGACGCCTGGAAGTCACATCAACCCCATGCAGAGCTCCTTGGACGTCAACATCGGCTCAGGATGGGCCGAAGAAGCCTGGATGCAGGGGTAGCCTCGAGGAAGCGGCGCATCCGTGCCACGGATTCTGCACGGCTGGAACTGCAAGATTCTGCTGGAACTGCACGGCTGGGGAAGTGCACGGCTGGAACAAAAAGGTCTTGCGCCAACCCCTCTCGGCGACTTCGGAAGGTGTGGTTTACAAAGGGTGTCGGTTGCAACCGTCACCGTGGGGGGTACCCTGGGGGGCGGGCGGGGCCCTCGACGGAGCTCTCCGCCGCGCACCGAGGAGGCCCGACGAGGACAGCGTCGTGCCCCCGAGGCCCCAGCGGTGCCGATCGCAAACCATACCCCGGCGTAGCCGTGCCCTTTGTAGTCGCCAGCCCATCTTACGACGTCGCACCTTTTTCGTGGCGCGGGCCCCGGGAATCTCGGTCCTCCGTCCACGTCCCCGTTCCCGCTCCTCCTCCTCCTCCTCCTCCTCCTCCTCCTCCTCCTCCTCCTCCTCCTCCTCCTATTCCTCCTCCTATTCCTCCTCCACTCCCCCTCTTGGAATATGACGGCTTCCCCAATCCCTCATGCCACGGCATGCTCCTCCACATCCCTGATCAGGGCAACTAGCCTGGACATCGTTTCTGGATGGGTTGGTGGGGTTACGCGAAGCGTCTAGAACAGGTTGCCGTAATCACTTGTCCATCTGCCCTCCTTGAGTTACAAACGAATGAAGGGGAGGAGGAGGAGAGGAGGAGGAGGAGGAGGAGGAGGAAGACGAGCGGGAGGAGGAGGGGGAAGAAGGAGGAGGAGGAGGAGGAGGAGGAGGAGTGGGGAGGATCGAGGAGGATGAGGAGGGGGAGAGAGGGAGGGGGGAGGAGGGGGATGAGGAGAAGGGGCTGAGGACGAGGAGGAGGAAGACGAGGAAAAGGAGGAGGACGACGAATCGAGGAGGGGGAGGATGAGGGGGATCGATGATGTTAGGGATGATGAGGATGGGGGAGGAAACACACCAGCCCTTTAGGACGTGAGTGGTTTAGAGCGGTTCCTCTTCCAACTTCCCCCCTCCAACCCCCCATTTACTCCCCTTCGGGGAAGGGTTTACCCCTCCCTCCATCCTCTCCCCCTGAGTCTGGAAGGGGGAGTCGCGGGTCGTTGGAGCGGCCAAGAAGGCCTCGGCGAGAAGGCACATTTCATTGATTTCACTGCGGTTTGGGCCACGTGTGGGCCTTCTGGGGGCCCAGCGCAAACTGGAACTTCCCCCGTCTTTGATCGAGATCCTCCAGGATGGTCCAACACTTGAACATTTGCCCTCGCTGAGCTACGAACGACATGGGGGAGGAGTAGGAGGAAGAATGGGGAGGATCGAGGAGGATGAAGGAGAGAGGGAGGGGCAGGATGATACCTCATGCGCATCTCCGGATTTCCGCATCGCCCGCCAGGCTTAATTTGCTCATCACTGCGCTAAGTCCGTTTTGGGGGCACCAGCTGGACGCTCCAGCCTAGACGCTTAAGTTCGCCCAACGTGGAAAAGGGGTAGGATGAGGAGCATCGAGGGAAGATGGATGGATTGGGGAGACGTAAGACTCGGGTTCGGGGGACTCGGGTTGGCCTGACGGGGCCACCATGAAAATGATGAGACCCAATCTGAAATCTGACGCGACCTCCAGCTGCAAACATCCCACGACAACCGGCCCGTCAAAACCCAGGACGCGCTCGTCAAACGGAGTAGGCAAACCCGAGCTCCGGCGCACGCTACGCAGTCTCGCGATTCCCCGAATGCGGCTGCACGCAAGAGTGACCCTAAGCAAGGATGACCTCTGGTGCGCGGCTCCACGGGGGACGCGGGGTGGCCAGACCTGGGCGCGCAAACCGCTGCTGCCGCTTCGCGTTCGGCGATCGGGGCACCCCATGGGGCCCACGTCCTGGGCCGCTCTTGCGGAAGGCCACTCTGGCGCCGAAGCGACGAAGGAAGGCACCGACGAGCGCCCACCGGGTCCTCCCGGGCGGGAACGACGGCGGCCTCCCGGCAGAGGCGCCCCTCGACGAGCTGGGCCTCGATCTCCTGCGGGGAGGCCGGGGCCGGACGGCGCCTCGCCGGCGGGTGTCGGGCGTCGAGGCCTGGAGGGTCGAGGCCTCCTTCTCCCGCTGGTGCTGCTCCTCCTGCTGATCCTTCTCCTCATTTTCCTCCTCCTCCTCCTCCTCCTCCTCCTCCTCCTCCTCCTGTTCCCTCCTCTTCCTCCTGCTCTCCCTCCTCCGTTCCCTCCTCCTCCTCCTCCTCCTTCTCCTCCCGGTGCTCCTGCTCCCCTGCCTCTGCTCCTGCTCCTGCTCCTGCTCCTGCTCCAGCTCCAGCTCCTCCTCCTGATCCTCCTCCTCCTCCTCCTCCTCCTCCTCCTCCTCCTCCTCCTCCTCCTCCTCCTCCTCCTCCTCCTCCTCCTCCTCCTCCCAACGGGTGGGATTCAGCGGCGGCGGCGGCGGCGGCCAGACAGGCGCTCCTGGAGCTCGACGCGCACGCCGTGCAGCTTGACCTGCCGGTCCACGCGGCCCATCACCTCCAGCTCGCCCCGGTCGTTCCAACGCCCGAGGTCGCCCGACCGGAACAGCCGCGCGCCGGCGCCGAGCCCGCTGGCGGGCGGCGCGGGGACGAAGTGGTCCTCGGAGAGCGCCCCTCCGACGAGGTAGCCCAGCGCCATGATGCCGCCGAAAAAGATCTCCCCCTCCTCGGCGGTGCGCCAGAGGAGAGGGTGGGGTCGCGGGGGCCAGCTGGCCTTCTGAGATAAGGCAGACGGCGGGTCCTCTGAGAGGAGGGCCCAGAGGGGCATCCGGGATGGCTCCTCAGGAGGCAGGTCAGTCACGAAGAAGACCGATACCTTCTGCAGCAGATCAACCAACAACATGAACATAGACTGTCGGTGGTCCGCAGAGACTTCTTGAGTCGGCACTGGGCCCCCTCCCGAGGCGCGCCAGTGGCGCCGCCAGCGAGGGTCCGCCGCCGACCCGAGAAGGCAGCGCGCGGGGTGCGTTCTGAAGAGAATTTCAAAGCGAATCCAGCGGTGGCGACGAGGGCCTCTTGGGGGAAAACGAGGGATGGGTAGCGGTATGGACACCACTGAGCCCAGACAGGCTTTGATTTCACACAGAATTGATTTCTCGTCGCATCTGACTACGAAAAAAGCCGTCGCATGCTCCGTACATCTACGGAGCAGCTTACGTATTTGTTTTCGTAACGTCGGAAGAACAGAGCGAAACAAATTTCGGGGTAAGTCAATTCTGCAGGCGATCCCCTACTCGAAGGCTGCATCCCCCGCATTGGTTCCGGGCAAAGGGGATCTTCCGAAATGGGGTCGCAATCCCCAAACATGCAATGACTCATTCTGTGGCGCATGGCGCGTGGCAGCCACGTGCTGATATGTACGGCGTGCGTACCCCGCACGAGCGATTGCACGAACCATTGCGTACATTTTTGATGACCCCCCTTTTGCAGAGGATGCACTCGCCCGAATCCGACCCCCCCCCTCCTCCAGCGGGCTCGCCGCGAGGAGGCCGCCGCCCCTCAGCACGCAGACGCGGACGCCCGGCTGTGGGCGGCCTGCCGGCGCCGTGGCGCCGGCGGGCTCGCGGTCGCAGCGCCACACGGTCATGCCGGTCTCCTCTTCGGCGGCGAGCCCGGGAGGGGGAAGCTCGAGGGGGGCAAGAGGATTGAAGGAGGATGGGGAGAGGAGGAGGAGGGAGCTCAGTGGGGAGCTGGATGGCTACGCTCAGACGAACACCAAACCCTACAGCGACAGCGACAAGGGGGATCGGGGAGGACGAAAGGATTGGATTGAACACTGCAGGGCGACAAGACAGAACAAGCCAGCATGGGGAAGCATCGGGGTAAGAACCGTCCCCACCAGGGAAGTCGGAGGGCTCTCTATCCACGTGCTGACCAGCGCAAGTCCAAAGCAAGGGCAAGTTCCAGCACTTTGGCAGGCCCCTGGTTGTACGAGGAATGCTTCAGCTTCCCGACTCGCTTCCAAGCGGCCTCAGCGCCATAGGACTCGGGGGGACGAAAGAGCAGGACAGCGAAGGGTAGGGCAGAGAATCAGCTCTCGCAGCTGGCTCTCCTGGCGCTTCCTGGCGCCAGGAGGCGCTCATGTATCGAGGAAGGGGCCCGAGAAGCGCGAGGGGGCGGGCCTTCTCGGAAGGCTCAGAAGTCCCCCGGCCTTCCGGGAAGTCTTCTGAGCCCTCCCCAGAAGGCACAGACACAAGTGCTCAGAGGGCGCGAGGGCTTCTGAGAAGGCCTCCTCCTGCTCACTTCCCCCGCCCTTCGCTCACCGCCGACAAGAATGGCGACATCTGAACCCTACCCCACCAAATATAGGTTCTCCTGAATCGATGGGAGGCGGGGGGAAGGCTCGCATTTCGACACGTGCTCGAAGAACTCCGGACACTACCCCCCGCCTCCCATCGAGTTGCCTAAAACGTTGATCGGCGAGGGTACCCCGGATGACATCGTAATCGCCCACCCCTTGGGTTCGGGGGGGAGATGGGCGGCGTGCCGTCGGGGGGGATTGGAGGGGGGATGCCAGTTGGAAGCTCAAGCTCCCGAGCCAGGTTGGGGTGGAGTGAGACTTTTGGACGCGCGTTGAGGGGCCCCGGGGCTGGGGATGGGGACGCTCCGTGGGAAGGTTCATCGCTCCCCCGATGATCATGCCATTCGGAGTAAGCAGGGCTCAGATCTCGACGCCGAGTCCAGCGCCTAGCCCCGGCATTCTCCTCCTCACTTCCCCCCCTCTCGCTCGCCGCCGGTCCTCGGCGGCAAGCCCAGGCCCGACGACGAAGCCAGGCCGAGGATGAACTCGTGTGGGGATACAGTCATCGTGCTATCATAAGTATAAAGGGAAATTAGGACACACAAATAAATACACACAAATAAAAATATTCCCCATATTTTCCCATATTTTCTGGGTTTTTGTCTTCCCCCACACTTCCCATATTTTTGCATATTTTCCTGGGAGTCGACGATTAATTGTGTCTGTGTGTTTCTTTTCCCCCTGAAAGTAGGGAGCCCACAAACAAAACACGTACGCGCCCCAACCACGCACGTAAATCCGGCCCCCTATCCACGAGACCAGCCTCGCAATGCGAACACTCGCGCCATGCGCACTTTCAGAATCAACGCGGGTTCTTGTACGTGTACGTCCTTCATTCGCTCCTGAACAAGGAACACCAGATGAGGAACGACAAGGCTTTTCTGGTTACGGCGGGCCTGGGCCACAAACAGGCTCTATGACATAAATGTAAGGAACGGCCCGAAAAACCGAGCCCCTCCTGAGCCCAAGGCGGTCCTTATCTCGGCGTATTAACTGTCAAATGAGGCGTGGATAAATCGAGAATCTCTGGGGTCCCGCGGCTCTGGAAGATGCCTCGGGCGCCGCGACCTTCTCAGAGCGTTCTGGAACGCTCTGAGAGCGTTCCGAAACGCTCTCGAAAGGAGTTGTCCTCGCTAGCCCCGCCCGAGACCCCCTCGGGTCATGAGAAAATCACGACGGACAATGTTTCCATTTTTCTTAGCCTCTGGAGTCCCTTGCTGGGCCTAGGGCCATTAAAAAAACTACTCCGGATGAAAAGCTAGTCCCGGAGAATGAGCCGAGACCGCTGGGTGTCGACGTTGTAAGCCCTCCGACTTTCTGAGGCTTCTCTGTGCCTTCGGGGGAGGGCTTAGAAGACTTGTTGGAAGTCTGTAATTACAATCCATCCGTAGCATCAGGATGCACGATAAGATGCAGGGGCCTTGGAAGGCCGTGTCGACCCTTTGCGGGCGAGGCGCGGCCAGCTAAAGCGGCGAATGATGAGCCGAAAAAGAAGGATGCCATGGAGAAACTAAGCAAGTACTGATACCGTTCCTCCCCGGACCTCTCCCGGGGTGCGCTGTGAACAGAATCACGAAGCGAATCCAGCGGCGGCCACCCAGGAACCCTAAAAAGGCTAAAAAACGATGGAAGGGTAGCGGTAACGGGTTCTCTTCCCCCTCTGATGCAAGGGCAGCCTCCGAAAGTGGTTCATGCTCACCATGCGGGTCGACTGAAGACTTCTGAGCCGTCGGAGCAGGCCCGCCCCCTCTCCGACTTCCCCCCTGGCCGGGCCGCCGAGCTCCGTCAGGCCGTAGAAGTTCTGGAGCACGGGCCCGCCGCCCCTGACACGATCGTATCGTCGTCGCTTCGTTCGTAAGCCCTGTCGTTGTTCGGGGTCTTGATGCTTGGCCGAAGGGCAGTGGCCGGCCGCCGCGGCCACTCCTGCCGAAGCTCGCCGTGCGGTGGGCGTCCTCCTCCCCCGCCCGCTTCCTGCGGCCGCCCTCCGCCTCCCCCCCCCCCTCGTGCCGCCAGAGAAGTCGTGCGCCGCGCCCTGGGCTGCTAGAGCGCGCGAGCGGATTGCCCCTGCCGCGCCGCGACGAAGAAAGTTTAGCGAAGGCGAGGGGAGGGGGGGAGATCTGAGCCTGGGCCTGCGATTTGTCGACCTGCTCCGAACAGTGGCGCAAGCAGAGGGGGAGGGAATCGTGGCCATTCGCCCAAAGCAGCCGCCAAAGGCAGCCAAGATCTGGTGGGTCTGGGGGGGGGGGGGAAGAGGGGGGGCGGGGGGCCAGCGCCCATCGGGGGAAGAGGAGGGGCTTGGGGCCCGCGCCCATCGGCGGATTGACAAGCACCAAGAAAGGCTACGTACAGTCAGGAGTTGCTTGGCTTCTCCTATCGGGGAGACGTAAGACCCGGGTACGGGGGACTCGGGTTGGCCCGACGAGGTCGTCAAAAAAATGACGAGGCCGAACCTGCATTTTGACGAGGCCTCCCGCTGCAGACATCCCACGAAACTCCTCCTCGTCAAAATCCGAGTCGCGGTCGTCAAAAAACGATGGCGAACCCGAGTCCCGGCAAACCCGGGTCTTACGCTCCCCCGACCCTATCGCTATCGCTATCGCTATCGGCTCGATGTCCAGTTGGACGCAGCCGTCCGCGCGGCCGAAGCTACGCGCGCGCGCCCGAGGCGCGTGGGGGGGGGGGTCACCCCCCGACGCATGCTCCCGCCAGGGGGGCGGGGGCCGAACAGGACCGAGAAAACGGGCCCAGGAGTTTCGGGGACGAGGAAGGAGGAAGAGGGGGCTCATTAAAGGCCGGAGGAGGAAGGAAAAAAAAAAAAAAAAAAAAAAAAAAAAAACGACCCTCCCTCCCTCCCTCCCTTCCGTCGTCTGTCGTGTCGCTGCCGCCGTCGCCGTCGCCATTGGCGGCTGCCTGTGTCTCCCCCTTTTCCCTGGACCTCGTGCCCCTGCGCGGGCGTGCGCGAGGCCAACCCAGAGCCCCTCCCTCCCTCCCTCCCTCCCTCCCTCCCTCCCTCCCTCCCTCCCTCCCTCCCTCCTCCCTCCCTCCCTCCCTCCCCTTCTCCCTCCCGCCCTTCTCCATCCCTCCCTCCCTCCCTCCCACCCTGCTCACTCTGCTTCTCTCTCTTTCCCCTCTGCTCCTCCCCCCTCCCGACTCCGCTGCACCTCCCGGCAGCAAGCTGGAGTGGCGACGGTTGCGCAGTTCCAGCCGCCCAGGGCGCAGGAGAGAGACAGGCCCCTCCTTTGCGCGCGCTCCCGCGCTGCCTTTCGTCAGGAGGAGGAGGAGGAGGAGGAGGAGGAGGAGGAGGAGGAGGACCTTTGTAGACCCAAGATTCACGAAACGATTGGAATCATCCCTCCCTCCACGCTGCCTCTTCATAAGTGCCTACACGGACTCCTCACCACTGAGGGAAGTGCCCCGTTGGGAGGTAACGGTTTGAATATCATGAAGCGTGCCAAAACACCATTCTCGGAACTCCAACGCAACGAATTAACTTGACTGGTGCGTCTTGGCGATCCTAAACCGTGCCAGAACGCCGTTCCTGGGAGTTCAGCCCCGCGTGTCAACGTAACTGTTGCGCCCTGGCGATACTGAATCGTTCCGAAACATCGTTCTTGGTATGCTCATCACTGGAACCCGTGGAAATCTGGCAAGTGTGTAAATCGAATGCTCGCGGCGCTAAAGCGAGAACCACACACTGAAAGCGGGCCGCCCTCAATGCGTGAAACTCTTACAATGCGTTTAAACGATGTGCGCGGTTCCCAAACAACAACCACACTTTGAAAACGGCCCGCCCTCAGCCCGTGAAGCTCTGGCAAATGTTTAGAAACAATGTGCACGGCGCCAAGGCAAGAGCCACAAATTGTAAACTAATCGCCCTCAGTCTGTGAATCTCTAGCAAATTCTCAACCAAACACGAATGCACGCAACGCTAAAACGAGAACTACAGTTTGAGAACGGCCCGCCCTCAATCCGCTAAACAGTTGCAGTGTTTAAAGCGAATGTGCGCGGCGCTTCTGCGACAAACTCATGTTGAAAACGGCACGCCCTATATCCGTGAAATTCTGGAAGGTATGAAAATAAACGATTTTGCGCGGCGCTCAAGCGAGAATCGCATGTTGGAAACCAGCGTTGAAACGAAAACCACATTTCGAGAACCAACCGCCCTCAATCCGTTAAACTCTTGCAAATGTTGCAAACGAATGTGCGCGGCGCTAAAGCGAGAGCCACATGTTGAAAACCGCCCGCCCTCCACATATAGAACTATAGAACTGTCGTCAACTGCTGAACTTCAGGATCACGAACGGTGAGGAAACCTCAGGCGAAACGCCCAGCCCGCCCTTTCGACCAGCCTCGGGGTGCGACAGGGAGGAGTCTATGAGGGAAAAGAGTGGAGGAAGACAACGACAATAATGAGTAGGACGGTGACGGGCAGGATCTGGGAAGGGTCTATGGGAGGAGGCCTAGGAGGATGAAGGAGGACGACGACGAGAACGAGTAGGACGATTATGGGGAGGATCGGGACAGAGTAGTTGGAGGAGGCCTAGGAGGAAGGAAGAGAAGGAAGGGGACGAGGAACAGGAGGAGCAGGAAGAGGAAGGTAGGAACACGAAGGAAACGAGGACCACGACGGCGACGATAAACAAACTATGAGGAGGAGGACGACGACGATGGACGGATGAGCGAAGATGATGTAGCGAACATGTCTTAATACGGGAACTCACATGCCAAATCATGCTGTGATAAGATGATAAGACGGGTCAGCCGGGGAACTCGGCAGCCAAGTGATATCAACCACACACCTGGCAGAAGCTGGCAGCTGACTTTCATTGAAAGTGGCAAACTGCAATCCGCATTGCACGCCTATCCTAAGAAAAACCAGCAGTCCGTGGCCGCAGCCGACGTCCCCGGGTATGCCGATTGCCAGATGCAACGACGTGGAGGTCGCCCGCGCCAGAGCCCCTGGAGGGCGGTCGGACATGATACGTGAAACGTGAGACAATTACGAGAGCGTGTCCTGCGTGCGCATCGTGCGCACCTCGGCAGAACAAAGTGGACAAGCCGAGGGAGAGAGACTTCGCTAGAGGGGGGCAGCGGAGAATCATGGAGAGAGATGGCAGTTTCGGAGAAGCAGAAAGAGCAGGAGGAGCAGCTGCAGGCAGGGACGGGGGAGGTCGGAGGATGAGACAGAACCGAGAAAAGACACTGCATTAGGGAGGAAGGAGGAAGTTGGAGGGGAAAGGATGGAGAGAAGGGAAGGGCAGGATGGGGGACGGAGAAGGAGGAAGAGGAGGAGAGGGTAGAAGGAGGAGAGAACAGAGAGGAGTGAAACCAGAGGAGGAAAGGTGGCCCCCTTGGAGACAGCAGCGAGGAAAGATGAGGAGGAGTAGGAGGGAGGCTTAGAAGAAGAAGCAGAAGAAAATTATTGAGGCTAGAGGAAGGAGAAAGGAACAGGAGAGAGACAAAGGACTTGCAGTGACACGGCTTTTCGGAGGCTCAACCCCGTTGATGGGTCCAGGTCTCTGGCGGCACCACTCTGGAAAACACGGCGATGGCAAGCGCTCATCGTGGCTGATACTCAAGGTCAGGGCAATCAGTGGGCAAAAACGGACAGGGGGAGAGGGGAAGGAAGAGGAAGGAGGAAGGAGGGAAGGCGGGAGGAGGGGAGAGGGGGGAGACACGAGGGAGAAGAGAGGGAGGAGAAGGGGAAGGAGGGATCACGGCGAACGAGGCATTGATGAAGGGGCCAGGGACACAAAAATAAATAGTCACAAATCCAGGGATTCCCCATATCTCCCATATTTGTTGGAGTTTCGTCTTCCCCCCACTTCCCATATGTTCCCATCTTTTCTGGGGAATCGACGATTGATTGTGTCTGTGTTTGACGCGAAAAACATAGCTTCGGGTCGGACGATCTGCGTCGCGTCGGCTTGTGGACAGTCAATCACGCAGGCTCGTGAAGCAAATCGGGGGGAACAAAGACATCCTTTGCCCGATCCGCTCATCCCCGGACCTCTCGCGGGGGTGCACACTGCACAGGACTCCCCGAAGCAGATCCAGCCTCGGCCCCCAGGGGGGCCCAAAAGGCAAAAACTACGACAGAGGTAAAGGGCGGCGGCATCGGTACACGTCAGCACTGAGACGTTGCCCGCCGGCGGGGCCACAACCACAAGGGAGGCAGCGGGAGGGAAAGAGCCTGAGCAGCCAGGGCAGTGCGGCAGGAACGCGGGATCGGGCGTCTGCATTTCAAGAACGAGGCTGCCCGAAGAGTAATCCCGGACGGGGGACGGACGAGAGATACCCTCCTGCATGCGACATGACTCCGGCAACTCATCAGCCACTGGAGCAGTGGACCCCCAGGAAAGCTCACAGGGCGGGCAAGAATGCCCTGCCGGACCGCCGCAGGGACACGGATGCTCACTCTGAGCGTCAGCAACGGCCCCTTGAAACTCGAGTAGGGGATCGACTACAAAATTGGTTTAACCAAAAACTCTTCTTGGGGCGAATCTCTTAAAAGGCTTGATGTGCTCCAGATCTGCGGAACATTCCGCGTACTTTTCGCAGATTCGACGGAAAACTAATGTGCGGGGTACAACAAAATCTGCAGTCAAAACACTACTCGAGACACGACGTGGGCGCCGCGCTGCGGGGCGCCGCGCCGACCTCCTGCGCGCATGGCTCAGCGGGCATCGGGCGGTCTCTCTTTCCCCCGGGCTGGCCTGCCCGAGACCCTCGGGCACGCCGGCCGTGACTCCCCCTCGGGCTCTGGTGCCGAAGCAGGGGGAGGTGGGGGGGGCAGAACTGGCCCGCCTGGGCATCGTTTATCCGAACCCTATCCCCATCTAGGTGGCCTTTTCTCCACTTGGGGATTTACCCCCCGAGATGGGGATGTAGGCCGTCTCCCTCGGGTTTTGGAGGGTATATCCCCAAGTCGGGGGCGGCGGGAGGGGGTGGGCTGGTGGGAGGCTTCATGGGGTTGGGGTTAGGTTAACCGATACTGACCGCCCCAAACTTCTGGGTCCAACAAGTCTTGACATTATTTTGGGGGCGCACCTGCTTGAGCACGCGCTTCTTCGCGCTGCCGCTGCACGCACGCGCCCCGCTGAGGGTGCGTCCCTTCCGCTCGGAACTCAACGCAATTCTTGCGCTGCAGGCTGGGCAACTTGCTTCACCTCCACCTGCAACTCCCGGTGGTAAGCCATCATTTCGGCAATTGGCGCTCGCTTCTAACATTCGCGAAGGTGCCGCCACTTCGCCCGAGAAGGAGAATAGGGGGGCGCATATTTCGCTTCCACCAGCTTCCGCACCTTGTGGAACTCATTTTTGGGCAGGCTTGGGCCTTTGACGACCATCCAGAAACATCAGAAGCCCATCGGAAGCGAAAAGGCGGGATCTTGAAGAACGAATGGTTTCCTTACGTCCTTTTCTTGTGATGCGAGCCTCTGGGGGCCCTCGCGGAGGCCTCTCTTAGAGCCTCGGCCAGCTCCCGCTGGCCTCTTCCGCCGCTCGTCAGCCCGAACAGGCGGGTCAGCCTTCCCGAGCCCCGGGAGGCCGAGGCCGGAGGCCCCCCCCACCCGCACCACCACGGCGGGAGACTGCGCCAGGCCCGCGCCGAGGGCCACCTCTCGGAGCGCTGCGAGGCCAGGGCCCAGGCCCGCGCAGTCGGGCGGCAGCGCCGACGAGCAGGAGACCCTCGCCAGCCATGCACAGGCGCGCCCTCCAAACCGGTGGAGCCCCCACGGATGCCTGAGTGTGCTCTCTGATCTGGGACTGGAGCTCCTCCTGCGCGGCTCACTCGCTGTTTTGCCTTGCTGAGCCGATGTGTCGTTGTGCGGCATGCCCTGCGGACGAGCTTCTGAACCACCGAAAGCACTGCTGGATGCGAGAACGCCCAGCGAACGCGAAGGCATCACGCCGACGACGCAGAACGAGACCACCCGACACGCACCGAGGTGCGGCAGCCCTATCATGAGCGGCTGGAGGAGGGCCGTGCCCCTGACAGGCTCAGATGTCGCTGGTGCAGCCCCTGCTCGTGAGAGTACCACACTCGGGTGTGGCAAAAAGAGGCCCTCTTGTGACCGAGGGTATGCGGACTCTTGGGGACCCACGTTGATCGGCACGGGGACTCTGCCGGAGAGGAGGCCCTGCGCGGCGTGCCACTAATCGAGCACGGCAGGGCAGGGCACTGTCGCGAGATCCGCTGCCCGTGACACCAGCGTGTACCGTGGAACGCCTGCTTGCCAGAGGATGGCGGTGAGAGGCCCGGCGGGGGCCGCGACTGGGGCGGGCCAGTGGCGCTCAAGCACGGCCAGGAGAGCAGGGCATCCTGCAGATGCTGCTGGAGCGCCAGAGAACGGAGGAGCAGAGAGAGAAGCAACGACGGGAGCGGCCTGCGCTCCATGAAGCGGCCGAGGCGAACGGCGAGTGCACAGGACGATGCGGCAAACCCGCGAACTTGTGCCGAACAGCTTCCCGAACAAATGAGAAGAACAAGTCTTCCAAGTTTGCACTGCGAAAATAGCCGCGAATTCGTGCCGAACAACTGCCCGAACGAATGAGCACAACAGACCTCTGAACTCTTTCCTGCGACTGCCGTGGCGACCTGCCAGGCAGGGCCCTCTCAGAAGCCGACCCTCCTCCTGGCGCGGGGCCCACGCCCCCAGAGGCCGAGGTGCTCGGGCGAAGAGGCCAAGACCGGCGGAACGGCAGCCCCTCCCCCTCTGCGCCGCCGAGCAGCGGAGGGCGAGGGGCCGACACGCCTCTCTGCCGAGGGAGGCTTCAGCACTGACTCTGAGCTGCAAGGATGGCACCGCGGGGGCCGGAGGAGGCCAAATACAGAGGTCCCGACGCTGTGCGGTGACAGTGGCAGACCGTGCGGCGACCTCGGAACCCCCTGAACCTCACCGCACCGGTCGGTCACCGCACCTTTCTAGGGCTCTGGAGACCCGTTGCCCAAGACATCCTGGCAGAGAAGCCTGCGACGTCGGCAGGCTCTCCACGACGGCGCGTCATTGATACCCTGCTCCCCTCCCGACCGCTAGGGCCCCGGATCGGACTCAGACCAGCGCACTCCCCCGAAACGCCGACCGCAACGTCCCTGGAGATGGCGAACATCGGCAAGCATTTCGGCCAGCGCCCCTATCCGCTTCGCGGCGGCTGCCTTGGCCACGCCGTTCCAAGGCCGCGAGCCGAGGCACTTCCCGGTGCGGATAAGCGCGGCGCCTTGGCTATGCAGGCCGAAGGCGTGAAAGGGCCCTCCGTCGCTGGGCAGAGTGACCCGCCCGCGCAAAGCGCGGGGTGGAGCTCACCAGCCGCGGTCTCCCGAAGCACCACACCAACTCAAACTTTCGGCAAATCCACATCGACTGCCAGACACTGGCGCACGCTAGACCACACTAAAGATGGAATTGCCAGAACGCGCAAAGACCCCCATGCTTCGCAAACGAACCACACGTCCCGAGCAGGGGCGACATCTCCGCCAAGCGCCCGCGTGCTTCCCTGCGTGCGCGCTGCCCGCGCAGACCTCCAGGCCGGTCCTGGCCAGGGGCTGCCCTCCCCAGGCACCTCCGCAGGGGCACCGCCCCGCCGGCAACGGCCGCAGCCCCCGCGGCGAGCGGCGAAAAGAAGCGGGTCTTGCGCGAGATGGCACAGCGAACTTGCGCGGTGACCTACGCGGGCCGCCAGCGCGGCATAGCTACATTGGAAACGAGGGCGCTTGCGCGCGACCTCACGCGGGACGCCTGCGCTCCGATGTCGGTGAAGAGGGCCCCCTTCCCTGTCGATCCTGCGCAGCTGCTCGCTGTGCCGCTCGAGCGGAGGCCGCCGAGGCGCCCCGCCGCTGCGCCGGCCATGGGCGCCCCGCAGCACGCCGAGGGGAAGCACCCCGGGAGAGAAGAGGCGCGAGGGCGCGCCCTGCCGCCCGCGCCCAGGCGGCCTCCAGCCTTCCCGTGCGGGTGCCGCGAGAGAGAGCCCTCCCAAAGCGGGTGCACGCACCCCCCGGCGTGGCACGTCCGCCGCTTCGGCGGCACCCGTTGCCCCCACTGCCGTGCCCCCGCGGCGTGCGGCGGGTCGCCGGGCAGGATCGGCCAGCATCGGATCGGGACTTCGGCTCGAATCGAAACGTGAGTCGCATCGGGCCGCATCGGCACAGAGATGGAATCGACTCGGATGGGCCGCGCCAGGACGCACAACAGCGCCAGGCAAACGTTGGGCCGAAACGGATCGAAAGAAAACCGGTGTCGAATCGGATCAGGCTGGCCGGAATAGGTATCAAATCGGATCGATAGGATAGAAACTAAATGGACGGTGCCGGGGCGGAGGAGACCAGGGGGGGACCCATGACGAGGAGAGGGAGGAGTCGAGTAGGGGATCGACTACAGAATTGATTTTCCCCAGAACTTATTTGTCCGTGCACATGCGCAAAGAGTTCGTATAATCTTGATAGATATGTGAAAAAATATGCGCATTTTCTGCTAACCCGACGAAAACTCAAATTTGGGGATAGATCGACTCAGTCGTCGATCCCCTACTCGGAGGAGAATGGCAAGGCGGAGGGCGCGCACGACCGAGGGAGGAGCGGAGGGAGAGGCCGCTGGTCGCGGGGGCGCGACTGCCCGACGGCGCTCCGCGGGCCTCTCGGCGGCATCCGGCGGCCCGCGGCGGCGATCTCCCAACGCTCGGCGGCCCCCGGCGGGCCTCCCACATCGTCAGACGAAGCGAGGACGAGGATAACATCGGGTGAGGATACATTGAAAATCTCTCAGATCTGGCGGCTCTGCAGGATGTCTCGGGCGCCGCGGCCTTCTCAGAGCGTTCCGGAACGCTCTGAGAGTTCAGGAACGCTCTGGGACAGACTTATCCTTGTCCTGGCCACGTCCGACCAACATCAGCCGCGGGTGGCGTGGGCCATCACTGCTGGGCCGCCAGCTGCCAGGGCACCGTCCGGTCGCCAATTCAGCGTGCGCCTGGATGGTTCCCGGGAATGTCAGCTGCACCGGTCGAGGCCGTCACTTCGACGCGAGCGTGTGCCGCACGGACTCCCTGATGTGCCTCATGCTGGGCGAGAGAGCGCTGAGGTGCCCGTCCTGCCCGGCGACGGCGGAAGTCGCCAGCACCCCGCGGGCGGTTTTCGACACAGCCCGGCTGACGAACTGCCTGAGGTCGACGATGTCTCTGACGGTGGCGTTGTTCCCGCTGCGCAGCTGCTGAAGGATATTGAACATGTCGGGGAAAGAAAGCTCTCTGTCGTGCTCAAAGATGAAGTCGGTATAATCGACGAGGCTGACCACGTCGACGCCGAGCTCGGCCATGCACTTCACGGCCTCGGGGATCGTCAGCAAGATCTCAAACTCGCCCCTGGAAATGCACTTGTTGCTGTCGGAATCCACCCCGTATTTGTTGAACAGCGCGGACATCCTGGACCTAAGGTTGGACAGGGACATGGTGCGCTGCTCGCTCTCGGACACGACGCTTACCACCTGCACCAAAATCCCGATCAACATATTCATGAGGGTCAGAGATCCCAGGAGCACGAACGCCCCGAGGAGCACGCCGTAGAACACGTTATCCGTCGCCCCACTTTGTGGCTACCAGGCGCATGATATCCATCCCCCACCTAGTCCCCCCCCTGGATACGCACAACTACATATCAGGGGATAATTCCTCCATGGCAAGAAACCGTTGGACGCATAACTGACGGGACGGAAGACACCAGGGAGACAAATACCCTGCGTTTGTCTCGGGAGTTCCGGGGTACCATACTGAACTTGGCCATAACACCACTGAACACGAACATGGCTGCGAATGGTTCATTGCGACTACCCAGGCGCAGCTTGGGGGAGAAGCGAACTGATGGAGGAACGGAGACAGCGGGACTATGTTCGGCGGGATTCGAAGGGGGCGGGACGTTCACACAGCCCCGAAAGGCCGAGGGGACGCCCTGCATGGGCAGGAGGTCTGGGGGCAAAAGATCCTGGAGTCCCCCAGTCGGGGGGGGGGGATGGCGAATCCGCAGGCCCCTGCTTGCCGGGGGTGCAAAGGCAAGGCGTGTGAGATGATTGGCTGCCCCCATCCCCCATTCCCCCCTCCCATGGGATCCGACATCCGATTAGAGCAGGGTGGCGGCTGGGGGGATGGGTGGAGGGCTCCTAGACGCTACCTTGGGGCCGGCCTCCAGAGTCTCCATTTCTGCAATCCGTTGTCTCCATACGCCCACGATTCCATCTAAGCTTGCTCAAGCTGGGCTCCAACACGTCAAGGAGGCCACAAAAATCAAGACAGCCTCAGGACGCTCCACGACGACCCTGGAGATCTCCAAGAGGAGCCCCAACAGGGCGCCAAGAGGTCAAACCCGCCACAACTCGGGGAGAAAACTCAGATTCATAGCGTAGTCACCCTTTTGGTTTCAACATCGTCAAAAGGCGGCCCGAGAGGCCCCAAAGATCGCTCAGACGGACCGAGAGAGCCCCAAGACGGCCCGAGGGACGCCCGAGGCGGCCCAAAAGGAACTCGAAAGGGCTTCAAGATGGACCCAAGAGGGGGAGCTCGAACTGACGTTTCGAGCCCTCCACCCAAACTGTGTGCATAGGGAGACGGCCGAGGGGCCGTTCCTAGACGGGGTTCGTAGGTACATGCAAGGAGGAGGACTCCTTTTTCCAGGGCTCTGCGCAGGGGGCAGTGCACTCAGTATTAATGCCAATACCTGAGCCGATACAGCTGCGGTTTGTGATGATATCATGAAGATATGACCAAACTTCTCACAAACACAAACAGGATCCCCGGGATCGCCAGCAGGCACACCAAGAGGCCCCCAATTGGCCCCAGAGATGCCCCAATAGTAGGCCCCTCCAACGGTTCCCAGGAGACAGACAGCCTCACCCGTGGACGTCGTTTCTCGTCTGGGTCGGCGGATTGGCGCAAGCCGCTGGAATCCGCCCGCCCACCGGGCTGAGGGGCGTGTGAGATTTAATTACAGAGCTTTAGCCCCCCCCCCCCCCCCTTTTTTCCCCCCCAGAGGCCTCCGCCATTCCGCCGCCCAGCTGCGGCAATGCCGTTTTTCGGTTTCCAAAACGGCTCCACGACGGCGTCCAAGACAAGCTCGATCTTGGTATCGTTCTGAAGACGCTGCCAGACGCCTGTGGGCTCCATTTCGGCCCCGTCGGAGCCCCGTCTTTGCCTCCAAGATCCGCTCCCGGAGCCCTCGACAGCACCTCTTTGGCACATTCTCGCCGACACGTGGGGATGTCAAAAAAGTAGCAAATACTATGGTTTTGGCCTGATTTCGGCTTCCCCGGGGCTGTCCAGGACGCTGCTTACAGTTGACTTCCGGGCTCGCGTGCGTCATTTTTCATCACTCCCTTTGTTCGCCGTTTTTGGGCGCGCTCCGGGGTCCATTTTGGACGCTGCGGGGCCCATGTTGGGCCGCAAAACGGACCCCAAACCAGGTCAAACCCCGCCCGGTTTTTACTGCAAGACGGACGCGGTTGCGACCCAACGCGGAAGTGCTGTCGCTTGAGCCGCCCTGGGCTTCTCCAAGACCGCCTCGGGGCCTTCTTAGCCTCTTTTTGGACCCTTTCCGGGTTCCTCTTCGGCCCTTCTTGGCGCCTTGCTGGCCGGATCACCGCCAAGGCAACCGTCGGGGCAACCAACCGCTCGAGCAACCGCCGCGACTAGCAACGGGAAAAGAATCCGGGCAACCTTCGGGACAAGCACCCAGACATCTACCACGGCACGCCACGGGCCAGTCATCTGGTCAGCCATTGGAGAACCCACTCCAAGAGCCACCTTCCCTGCCATCGGATCAATCGACTGCGCAAGCGCGACAAAACCACGAGAGTGCCACGCCACCGTATGACACAAGCCCACCACGGGAGCATGCCGCCTTCCCTACCATCGGATCAGTCGACTGCACAAGCGCACCACAAGCAGCAGCATCACTAACACCGGCACCATCAGCACCATCGCCAGCAACGGCAGCAGCGGCACCCGCACTGCACCGTACCACCAGCAGGAGCGACAACAGCAACACCAGCAGCAACACCAGCCGCAGCACCACCACCACTAACAGTAGCAAGTACGACAAACCTACTGTCGAACAGCCACGGGGCATGCCTGAGCATAGTAGGCGATAGCATAGGAAGAGAGAACGCGGGACAAAAACAACAAAGCACACGACTTGTATGAATTCCTGCCTATGTTTATCCCGTCATGGAGCCGTCTTCGCCTCGTCCGGCGAGAACTGGAATGGGCGGGCGGTGAACGCGAAGCGTCTTGAATAGAAACGAAGCGCGCATAGTCAACAGACATGCCAAACAGGCCAGAGAGACTGGGCAGGCCATGGAACATGGCGGGCAGGTAAGCCACACCACACTCTGGACCAGGAGGACCAGACCGATCAGACCGTGTTCGCCAGACAGACCAGACCAGACCAAACAGGCCAGACCAGATCAGGAAAGACTCGGCAACCCTGACCAGATAAACGAGACGAGTCAGACGAGACAGACAACACAGGCCAGCCTGAGCAGGCAAGACGCTCGCACGGTCTTAGACTGGCGGGACCTACAAAACAGTACAGGGCAGGTAGCCATGATCAGACAAGCGACACGCGCAGACCAGAAACACTGACAGGCAGACAAAACGAACAAGACAAACAGCTCGGATTGACCAGACAGACAGAAAGAATGGACGGACAGGCCAAAAAGACCACACTGATCCATCAACGGAGCAGCAGAGAAAGACCAGACATACCTGACTCAAAAGACGGACGAGACAGACCACACTTACCACATGGGCGATGGTTCGACCTCCTGCGTGAAAACGCCCGTGCTCCCGCGAAGCGGCGCAGATCCTTAGCCGAGGTCTCCAGGAAGGGGGCCTGGTCGGGAATCGTGCCGTGCAACAACAGGGAGGCCATGGCCGCCGGGACGCTCCTGAAAACAAAAAAACGCAAAAACTAGAGGAAGTCCGCGCGATTGTCTTGACCCGACGCTCGAAGCCCGTTCCCTGGCGGCGTCTCTGGCGCCGAAGCGCGCAAGAGGCGGCGCCAAGGAAGGAGGGTCCCGGCCCAAGAGATCCGCGCGGGCCTCAGAAAGTCTGCTTATGCAGCTGTTTGTTCCTCGGGTCGAGCTGGGGGGACAAGATGGTACCGATACCCGTCGGTCGGAAGAATCAGGTGAAAACATGAGGTAGGAAGGCGGATGGAGTAGATTGGGTCCAGGCCCTCCCAGAGAATAACATAACACATCAAAACCATGCCGACCCTTAAAGTAGGAAGGCGCTAGAAGTACAGTGGGATATAGGAATCCAAGATGCCTCGTTTCAACGACCGACGGGTACCCCTGCCCCCTGGACCTCTCCTGGTGTGCTTCTGACCAGAGTCTCACCAGCCCTCTGGGCGTAGGTGGTTTAGAGCGTTTCCTCTTCCACCCCTCCCTCTTCCCCTTCGGGGAGGGGTTTACCCCTCTTCCTTAACCCCTTCCTCTGGACCTGGACAGGTGCGATCGCGGGTCGTTGGAGCGTCCAAAACAGTCTCGGCAAGGAAGCCAAAACCATTGGTTTTACTTGGGTTTGGGCCCCATGTTGGCCTTTTTGGGGGGCTCCCGAGGGACAACGCGAATTGCGGCGACCCTCCCCTTCTTTGATCGATCTCCTCCAAGATGGCCCAAAGAGGCGCCCAGGAGGCCCCAAGAGGCCCCAAGATGGCCCCAAGATGGCTTCAAGATGGCCCCAAGATGCCCCCAGGATGCCCCCAAGAGGACCCCAAGCGACCCCAAAGGGCTCCCACGAGGCCCCCAAGACGCCTAAGAGCCGTCCAGGACCGCCGAGAGACCCCCAAGACGTTCCAAGAGGCCTCCAAGAAGCGCCCAAGAGATATCCCAAGAGGCTTCGAGACGCATCCAGGAGACCTCTAGCCCTTTTGCTTGCCCTCTTCCTCCTGCTCCCCCTTCCTCCTCCTACTCCTTCTCTTCTTCCTCCTCCTCCTCCTCCTCCTACTCCTAATCCTCGTCCTCCTCCTCCTCCTCCTCCTCCTGATCATCCTATTCATCTTCCTTCTCCCACGCCCTCATTCATCCTCCATCCATCCAGCCTCCTCATTCTCCTCCTCCCTCCTTCGCACGGTTCGGCCGTCCACCTCTTCGCTCCTGCACTTCCCTGATCACCTCAACTCGCCTGGACATCGTCTCTGGATGGGCTGGTCGGGATACGCGAAGCGTCTAGAATTTCGTTTCGAGGCGAACCCAGCCGTGGCCACGCGGGCATCCCAGGAGGACCGAAACGGCGACAACGAGGTCCGGGAAGGGTAGAGGCATCGGCATCTCTGCCACCTGGGAGAGCTCCTGAAGTACGCCCCCCCGACATCGGTTCCGTCGGTGACCTGCCGGAGGGCCACGGCGAACACGTACGTCAGGATGGTCAGCAAGAATAGCGTGAGGATCACGGAGCGAGCGGCCGCTGCCATGCCCCTCACGATGATCATCAGCTCTGGGACCGCGGTCACCAGCCGGACCATCCTCAGGCTCGACGACCAGCCACAACTGGGAGAGCTGTGGTCCTTACCCTCCCGGGGGAGACCATCGCACCGCCGACCTCTCAAGGTGCCAAAACCGATGGGCCCCCCAGGGGGTAAGTATCACAGCTCCCCCAGGGGGTAAGTATCACAGCTCCCCCAATCGTGACTAACCTGGCTCGACGATCATATCCACATCCGATCTAGACACCGAGGCGCGATCCCATGGAGACGAGATCCCGTGGATGTGCTCCCCGCGGGTCATCCGCGAAAAAACGGCCTGCAACCGCATGCCGCGGATAAGAAAGGTGACCCCCCCTTAACCACCTCGATGGGGTGTATGTGGGCTCAACTTGCCACATGAGGTGCGGGGGGCGAACTTTGAGCGAACTGTATACTCACCCCCGAAGTTCGCATCGCCGCTCTGATCTAATCATGTATAGCACCATGATTAGTCCTGATTATAAACGTTCGCGAGGATCTATAAAGCGAAACGCAAGATTCAAAGGATTCGCTGAGCTCGCGACCAGCAGCTTTTCGAGGACGTATCAAGCAAAACGATTGGTTTTGTAAAGCGCACTATCGCGAACGTGTTAGTTGTGCGAGGATGTTTCAAGCGAAACGCTCAATGTTTCGAGCTTCCCCTCCCCCTTTGTTCCGTCCCCGCAGCTGTTCGAGGCCCAAGCCGTTTGCGAGCAACCGATCCTTCAACGGGTTCCGCGCGCCGCAAGCGGTCAAAACCCGAGGCTTCCCGAGATGTCCTTCTCCAAGAGACCCGCGCGCGCCGAGCTCCCCGCCACCTCCGAGACGGGGAACGTCGAGTACGTCAAGCTGCTCAAGACGTAGATCGAGCAGCAGAACAAGCAGATCGAGCAGCAGAACGAGATCATCCAGCTCGTCAAGCACGTCGCCAAGAAAGCGCACATCGCCGAGCTTTGTCAGTGCCAGCTCGCTGGCGAGGCAACATATGCACCGAGAATGACGAGCAACTACATGCGCGGACAATCCGCGCTCTGGTCGAGAAGCAATCCAGCGACGATTCTCGAGCCGCTGTACGAGAAAGGCAACGCCAAGAGCATCGAGTACTCAGGCATTCTTTTCGAAAAAGACAAGGAGGAGTGAGCTCGCGGTAGTCATTTGTTGAGGCACCTACTTCGAGGAGTCCTCCGAGGCTTTCGACATCTACGCTGAACACTGCACGAGCAACGACGAGCTGTTGAGCTCTTCCCGAGCTTCAGGCAGCAGCTCCTCGAGCTTGCCAAGAAGAACGACGTCGAGATGGGGCCAGAGGTCGCGAAGCAACTGTCCAACGGCTCTTATTTCGAGCGCATCAAGGACGTCCTCGGCGACATCCCCCAAGGCCGCCAAACGCTCTACGAGATCATGCCTCCCCTCAACAAGCAGTTCGAGCCGTTGTTGACGAGCGTGCCGACAGATTGCCACGAGAACTTCGAGGCGATCCAGCTCATCCCAAAGAAGGTCCTCGATGGTCTCGAATGGTCCGAGCGGTGTCTCGTCAAGCCGACCGAGGACAAGCGCATATCCCATACCGAGGCCATCGTCAAGTGGTGCGAATACATTTCGAGCGTCGCCGAGGGTGCCGTCTACCTCAACGAGGCCGAGTACAATGCCAAGCGCCCCAGAGTCGACGAGGATGCCGAGAAGCAGCAGCACGACACCGACACAAAGCTCCTCGAGCGCCACGTCGAGCGTCTTCTCCCCAAGTATACCGAGATCATGACCAATTACTCAGAGCTCAAGGAGGCCGAGAAAGCGCCCAAGGCCAACGAGGAGGCGTTCGACACGGCCGACGAGGAAGCTCAGAGCGCCGCAAGACGCCGAGCGGTCGCGCTTTTTTAACGCAACGTCCCCGAGGGTGGCGCCCGAACGTCACGAGCCACCCGCTTGCACAAAACAACGGGTGCGTCATCGTCTACTCGATCCTCGGATCGAGGATCCATGATCTTCGGGCCGTCGATGGGTTCTAGATCATAAGATCTAGGATTCCAGGCCCGAAGATATTGAACCCTCGATCCGAAGATCGATGAAGGATCGAGCGTCCTTTCTCGATCGCTTCCTCACTCTTGATCCCTTCGCCGACGTTCGATCCTCGATCCTTGGATCGAAGATCCAAGATCCTCGGATCGCTGGTCTTGGATCGAGGATTCAAAAACCATGGGTCATCGATATGAGGATCTATGACCTTAGATCCGAAGATCTTGGATCCTCCATCCAAAAATCGGGGATCGAGCCTTCGCGCCACTTCTTCCGTCCTCCCTGCTTCCTCCGCCCTGCCGAGAGAAAGGCCCAAGCGAGAGCTGCCCATGGAAAGGCCCGAGCGAGAACTGCCGAACGAACGGCCAGAGAAAAAAACGCGCAGCTCTCCGAGGCTTCCCTGACGTTCGGATCGAGGATATTAGATCCTCGGACGGTCGTTGATTCCAGATCCCAATATCTATGATCATAGGCCCGAGAATATAAGATCCTCGATGTGAGGATCGAGGCGACGAGGAGACACAACATAAAACAGGAGAGACGGGGCGAGAAGAGGGGAGAGAAGAAGAAAGGAGGCGAGAGAAGAAGAAGAGGAGGCAGGAGGAACGAGGAGGAGAGAGGAGGGGAGGAACGACTGTGTAAGCAACGTCGCTGTTAATCGCCCCCGAAGATCAATAGTGGGTACTCCTACACGACAAGTAGCAAACCACCACGGGCTCTGTGGTTTTACTCATAAGAATGTGGTACATCGTTCTGGAAATCCTGTTCCTCTTCTTCGCTCCTCATCCTGATTATCCTTCTCTGTATCGCAGTATAGTCCGTACCGTCTTTATGTATCCTCCTACTCCTATTCCTCGTGTTCTCTATTTCCTTCTCCTCTCCATACCCGTCGTTCTCCCTCCGCGCCCCAGCTGCACTTGTGCATCGCAGTAATTGGTCACCACCCCTAAAGAGCAACCATGAGTACTCCTACACGTCAAGTAGAACGCCACCAAGCATGCTCTGGTTTTGCACATAGAATAGATGGGTCTGACACGTTGGTTTTTCCTGAAATCTCCTCATCATCCTCCTCCCTCTCATCGTCCTCCTCCTTCTTCTCGTGCGCCTCCCCTCCTTCTCGTCCTTCTAGTCGTCACTCACTCTATTGTGTCTATTCCTTTATTTCTCGGTCTCCTCCTCCTTCTGATCCTCCATCCCCTCCTTCCTCCCTCCGCGCCCCAATTGATGTTGTTTGTCGCCGTCATTGCCAATCACCCCCAAAGAGCATCCAGGAGTACTGTCCCACACGACGAGTTGAGAACCACCCGGAATCCGTCAGCTTTACACACAGAATTCGATAGGTCTGAATATCTGATTTGTATTGAAAGCTCCTTCTCCTCTTCCTCCATCTCGTCGTCGCCTGCCTTCTCCTCATGTATCTATCCTTGTCCTACTCGTTGTCCTTCGTGCTTATCATGTTTCTGTTCCTTCCTCTTACTCCACCTCCTTCTCATATCGTTAGTATCCTCCGTCACCTCCCCTGACTCCCGTTGCTCCCAGGCTGAACCTGTTTATCCCCGTCGGTTTAAACCACGCCCAAAAAGAAACCATGCGTACTACAGGACGAGTGGAAAACCAAAACGAATTCTTGAGTTCTGCAAATCGGAGTTGAGAGGGGTTGAAACTTGTTTTTTCTGGGAATCCTTCTCCTCCCTCTTCTCCCTCCTCATCCTCCTCCTCCTCATGCTCTTCTCGTCCTCTTCCTCCTCTTCTGTGACATTCCTGCTCCTTTTCTTCTCTTATCTTGCACCGGATTGGAGGCGTCTCATTTCTTGCACTGGATTGGGAGAAAGCTTTCGACTCGCTCAACGTCGAAGAGTTGCTTACATCGCTACGCAAATTTGGAGTACCAAGCCGTATCCCCACAACTACCAGCATATATATATACATATATATATATATATAACGGCAGAATGTTCTAAATAGCAGACGGCCACAATTCATCTACAGAGAGGCGGCAATTACTTGGGATCTCTCAAAGATGCCCGCGTTCACCGTTCTTGTTAATCATAGTCATGACGATGGTGATACGCGATGCCGAGCGCCGAGCAGATGCCAAAGTGCGAGAAGAACTGCGAGCAGAAACACGGGTTGTACTGTCGTATGCTGACGGCACGCTACTCGTTGGGCGTGACCAACGCGATCGCTCTTGGGTGGAATAGCAGAGGAGGGTGCACGGGCCAGCATGACATTACATTGGGATAAATGTCAGTTCATGCCTGTGCGTTGCAGCATGAACCTGACTACGCCGCAGGGACAGCCAATCCCAGCAACGTAATTAATGGTGTCTCTTGGGCAAGAATCTCGAGCTCAGGCTGGCTGTCTGGAGAATTAAATAAACGACTGGGGGCAGCGTGGGGTGCATTTTGCAGACACAGACGTGCATGGAACACACAGCTATTGGGACCGCCCGTAAACTTCAGGTCTTCCAGGCTCTTGTCACCAGCAAGGTGATGTATTATTTAATATCAGCTTGGTTGAATAAGGCAGAGCGTCGTCAATTAGACGGTGCTCAGGCCAGATGCCTTCGCAGCATCTTGCACATCCCACCTGCGTACGTTTCAAGCATTTATACAAGAGAAGTGTTGTTGCGAGCAAAGCAAGAGTTGTACACAGCGCAGCTTCTGACATTCCAGCTTCTACGGTTAGGGAACATTGGTAGGGCAAGAATTTAATGAGGCGCCTTAAGCTTCAGCACGGCAGCCTGCGGCCAGCTACAGACGCTTGCGCCCAGGCTGTAGGTGGGCCGAGAAATGAATGGGCGAAGTGCCTACTGAGCATGATTGGACAATACTTCGCTTCCGAGGAGGCCGCGTTGCAAAGTATTCGCGACCCCGCTGCCTGGCGATAAGTTGTGCCTGGTTTTGTCTCGACTACTCCCCTTCCCCCCCTTCCTCCCCGTGCCACGCACGATGTAAATTAAGAAGCCGCCGGTACGCCGCCTTTCCCGCAAAACGGTGAGATCAGGCT